CTTGTGTAATGCTTCTCTTAGAGTCTATTCATCACATTTAAAAGAATTTTTTTATTATTTTTTAATTCACAGTTTCTGAATTCTAGTACTTCACCAACTAAACTCTTATCACTGTAGAATGTGATAAAACACCAAGCAGAACATCTCACAAGAATCACCACAGGAAACTTAAGTGTTCAGCAATAATCTCTTGTCATTTAAGTACTGGAAAATAAGATGACTATACAAATAATCTGCCACTACATAGCATTTTTTATTTTAGGAATATAAATTATTGTATCAATACTAAGTAATTGGGCATATCCTTAAATTATGACTATTCTTAAAAATGTGGAAATGCAGCTAAAGCATAAGATTCTGGACATTACTTAATGTGGTTTAGAATGTTACCTTAAAACGGATGTGTAGCTCCTTTGGGTGAAATTACCTTCTCTTCAGTCTGGTAGCTAGGGCACTTTCTACAAATTTGTTATCAATATACTTTAGACAAAGTAGTATTTTTGCCTAGTCTGGCTGATTTGGCATGATTTTGTGCACAGCAAAGTATGGGAAATTGACAAATATTCACTAGGTACTTGACTAATTGCTAGAGAAGTATATGTCTTCAAAATTCATAATTTTTTACAAAATGATGAGACCTACTTTTCAGAACTACTACTACACTTATTCCTGGTTGAGTAAATCAGGATATTTGCCATAGGTGACATAGCTTCAGCATCAAGACAACAAATGGGGAACACAGCTACTTCACTGGAGTATATTTTATGTAATTAAATGTTCATCTAATGTTGGTTTTGCTTAATCTTTAACAGTATAAAATCTTGTTCAAAGTTATTTGACTGAGCAACTACACATTTTAATTATTTTACTACATAAGGAAAAGAAATTATGAATAATTTTTCCATTGTCCTAGCTGTCATTTAGGACAGCAGTGTAAAGCAGAAGATGAAAAAAGTGATCAAACAATGGGAGACTTAATCTGAAACTAAAGATAAAACCAACTCAATACAGAAATGACAGGCCTTCATTTAAGTGTTTAATTACTAACCAGTAATACAGTTTAACTTCAAGGTTTAACAGAAAACCAACCCAGTGCATCTTTCTCTCATGCTTGACTGAACATTTGGTGCTGGAATCAAAATGAAATCACAGAAATGAGGAAAAAAAAAGTATAGGAGTTTTGAGAGATGTTATGTAGATTTTCTATACTGCCACGTAAGACTAATAAGACTATTAATAAAAAGGCATATGAGGGGAGATCTGAAACTTGGTTGCTGAGTTTACCATTGCTTAGGTGGTTCTCCTGAGCTCACAGATACTTCATCTATCAGGACATTTTCAGGACATGGTTTATTAGTCATAGTAGTGTTGGGTTGACAGTTGGACTTGATCTTTGCAATCTTAATGATTCTGTGATTCTACGTACATATATCAATCCCTACTGACAATCTGAAATCGAAAATTATTTTCATACATTAATCTAACAAAGATTGTGAGGATTTAATACAACAAATGCTAAAAGCCATATTTTTCTCCAACTCTGATCATCCTGTAAAAAAGCAGGCTGCAACACATACTGGCTTTCTCATTGTGGAACAGGTGGTCCTTTATAGAAAGATCATGGGCAGAAGAACACATGGTAAAAAAATAGTACGTTTCTGCACAAGAGATCTATGCTTTACTGAGATATTGTAGTAGCTGGGTAGTAGTTAGGGACTGACAACCCAATCTACGTGCTGGGATACATATCTTTGATATCCAAATTTTGAATTCCTTGCATTTCACTAATGTTGGAAAAAATGGTGAATATTTTACAACTCTTCGTCCAACTGTAGTAGTGTGTTGACATCTAAGATTTTAAGGCCTGGAAAAGAAAAGCTGTCTTTATCTAGATCCAACAGCTTAATGACTTGGCTATAGACTCTCTTTACTTACCGTAAGCTCTGTATAAGAGGCTATAAGATTTGTAGCTATTAAATTATTTCCTTGACAAGTTCTACTAGAACTGCTACTTTGGTGAGTTTAGGTGATGCCATGTGGTTTCTGGATTCCAGTAATGAAACAGATGAGAGTATGACTTTAATGGGACCTAAAGGACCACTTGGCTCTTGACACGCAGGTAATGTAGAATTAAAAGGGCTCATTGCATCTCAGAGACAGCTAGTCTCAGTGTCTCCAGTTACCAGTTCAGTGGCTACCGGTTACAGAAACTTACATCTCAGTTCCTAGTATTGCCAAAGATGTTTTAATCTTGCATAACAACCTCTCTATTCCAGCACATCTTCTCTCTGTAGTGTGTTTGCTCGAATTATGCAGCCAAAATGCTTGGGGGACAAAAACTCTAATTAATTTTGGCTATCTTCCTAAGAAAAAAAGAAACAGTGAATAGACTGGGCTAACCAACTCTAATCAAGCAACTGAAACTTGAAATTTCATATGTCACAGTGAAAATAAACCAGTCTGCTACTGGAAAATTGAACAGTTCATACATACACAATAAAAAGTATGATTCAAGCAGATCAGAAAATGCAGTAAAAAACAACCAAGAACCCCCTCAAAAAATAAAATAAACCCCAAACAAATCCAACTCGACAAAAAGAAAAGAAAACAAAACAAAGCAGAAACAATGAATTATGAATAATTCATTCTCTATTACAATGAACAGTATAATTCTTGAAAAGTACAAGCTAGGTACTAGCTTAAGCATCAACAGAATTGTTGAACAAGTTCAATGCAAGTTTTATTTTCTTTGATAAGTTAAAATATATAATGCATAAACCAGAAGAAGGAAGAGCTTAACTTCAGATTCTAGGTTGCATATGAAAGTTTGCCCACTGTAAAACAGGATTTTTTTTTGCTTTCCAGAACCACCTCACAAAACAGCAGTGCATGATACTCACAATATCAGTTTTACAGTGATTCCTTGCTTCTCTTTCCAATGTATTTAACAATCTTCAGTGATTTCAATGTGGGCCTGAATGGGCCGTTTCAACTTATGCAGAGCACCAAATTCAGAAAAGAATGTTAGATTTATTTTTTTTAATCCACAGTTGTCCTATGAATAGCATTTTAGTTCTGCATTTGTCACCCAATTCTCATGCTTGCAAGTAAAAGAGGTAGTTAAAAGATAGTTTCAATATAATAGTAAACTCAAGAGCCTCCCCTTCAGATCAATGTCATTAAAAGACAATGCTGATTTTTATTTTTTATGACAGAAAATACTGTACATACTAGTACTACCCTTTAATATGTATGTCCTGTACATGTCTACAGAAAGCTACTAAAATTAATATGCAATTTAGGTTGTCTACAATCCTTAAACACTAATGTATTTTAAGTTGGTGGGGTTTTTTTATTTTGAAGCAAGAAAAATAGGTTTTCCGTTCTTTTTACTGGATTGATAAATAAATGCCTTTTTTTTTTTTTTCTTAAATCTGCGTCTTCAACTTCAAAACAAAATTCATTTTAGTAAATAGATAATTTTACACATTTTGGTCATTGTTTATTTGTCAAAGTAATCTAAGTCTTGATACTTCACCTAAAATACAGAGGAAAAATCATGTTATTTTATTTTGAATCTAAGACCTACAAAAATATCAAATTTGAATTATTAATTTATTTCCTCGTCTTCACAACTGAAATGAGTTTAAAGCTTATTTTCCAAAGAAGAAACATGGTTAAAAAAAGCAATTGTCCATTTTTATTTTGTTTACATTGCACTGAAAATTTACATCATACTTTTACAAATCCTTTTTCATAAAAATATACTTCTTTACAAAAGTGTATGCATTAATATAAGAGGAGTAGCCAGTCGCAGAAGAAACATTTTAAATGATCTCAAATGTATTAACCTTAACATTAATGAATGAATCATAGTTATTGCAGTCATCTGAATAAACAAGAATAAATAACAACCAATGGTATAAAATATAAAACAGCATCCTTTTAGTAGAATACATGTTGACAGAGTTGTATGAATTTTCAAAACAAAGTGTTGTAAAATGGTTTATAAGAAATTCATCAAACATTATAGAAATCCAAGCAGCAATCCCGGGTACAATGATTTTTGGTAGGCACTCTCTATTACGGTAATAAAAAGTTTAAATTTTCACAGAATTTTTAATGTCTGAAAGGAACAATATAACTTATAATTCACACTGGCTAACACACAGCATTTGTGAGTCATGCTATGAATGGAAGACAATGACCTACATCAAATAAATTACTGAATTGTCACTGAATACTTCTGGTATGAAATATCTGTAAAAATAAAAATTATATTTCCTTAGATTTGATTCTGGAATGTCTAAAACTTGTACTTGAGGGCTGTGGAATCTGAATTGTTACTAAAATGAATGGATTGTCCCTAATAAAACCATGGCTTTATATATATATGTGTATTTATATATATTTAATATTTTTTTTCTCGTTGCACTATCATAATATATTCAATTTTAAATAATTAGCCATAAGGATTTATTTCCATAACATATGGAATATATAGATAAAATAGATGTGAAAACACAGTATTTCCAAATTCTAACGTCTTGTCTTGTAGGTCTGAAACAAAGCTCATTGAAGTGTACTGGAATCTATCAACTTCAATGGGATTTTGCCACGCTTTGTGCATGCATTTTGATAAAATGGTGAAGGAATAAACTGATGTGATATGGTCTTGATTTAACTGGCATAGATTGAAAAATAGACTCTTAAATTTTGATCTATGGATTTGATTACCAATGTTACTGTAAACTGCACTTTTTAATTAGAAATACAATTTGATTATGTTTTCACATTTGGAAAAAAATAAAAAGTAGGATGGTCACTTTTGAATGATCTTCAATAGTAAGGAACATAGCCACATGATGAAGCTCAAGTCATAAGAGTTTCTCATTTCCAAAATTTGTCTAGTTTTATGATTGGCAAAAGAAACATAGAAACATTACCACTTGTGGGTATTGTTAATGAAAACAGAGAAAAGATGTGTGACTTGCAAGATGAAAAGGAAGTAAGATGTGACACAGGGAAGGAAATTCATTAAACAAGAACGTGACACTTTAATTTTTCTTCTGTGACATGAAAAGAGTAAATTGTACTTGCTGATTTCTAAATACTACATCCTGGACTTGAAAAAATAACTGAAAAAAAATACTAAACGGGATGAATAAATGAAAAAAACGTTACAAACTCATGAGAAAGATGTAGCATATGACTGTTAAAGAGAAGTCAGTGACCTATTGTCTCCTGTAAGTATAGCTCTTATTTTCTACCTATATCTTTTTTTTTTAACCCAGTCCCTCTATTATAGTTTTTATAAAGCACAGAAATACTGATAGTGGATGCTCCTCCAATATATGCAAATATGTTTTATGTTTTAGAATAACCTCCTTTTTTAAAAAAGCAAATAAACTGTGAGTAGCACTCATGGAGTGCAGCAAATTTTTTTTAAAACTCTCCATGCTAGACACGAAGAAGAATTCTGATCCAGTTTATGAAAAACAAAGTCAAAACAAAGTAACCACAACCCATTCTTGTCTATCATCCTCAGGAAAAGGTGACCCACTATATCCTGAAAAGTGTGCTTTATTTTTTTTCTTTCTTTTTTTTTTTTTATTTTTAAATCAGTGAACTCTGTGTGCACTGTGTTGTGTGTCAATTTCCAGACTTTAAGGACATATCATTACCACACTATACCATTGTGCAAACGGTGTTCAAGTTGGGGTCAAATCGTACTGCTTTCCCTTCCACAGACTTTGCATTTGTGTCATACATGGGGTTTTCAAAAGCAGCTTGTCCGTTATTATTTTCATGTACAGAGCATCCTGTATACTGTGTTTTAGGGGCAGTCCTGTAGAAGAAAGACAGAGTACTTATAACAGCAGCTCTCATCACCAACTTCATGTGGTGTTCCACATTATGGGAGCTAAACATAACATCTTGAATTTTCTTACACTTTCTGTGCTAAGAATTAGTACTCTCCTTAGGAAAGTTTAAGGGATTTCTGAGTCCTTTAAAACTGCTCACTTAAAAACTTAGCTAACTACCTAAGAAGAGGTAGGTATTTTCACTTGGGTAATCAGATGATAAATAGTTAAGAGTACAACAAAATCTTGTAAAGATGCAGTAATTCCCTAGTTAAACTGCTGAGATTTTCTTTCTCTCTTTGGACACTCAGCAAGTCTATCAAAAATGAGTTTATAGCTGAAACATTTTCTTCTTTGCTAAATAATTCACGGTATCAAAGACCAATCCCTTGAAAATGTTTCACCTATGTTGTTATGCAAAATGCATATTGTATTATAAAACATCAATATAAAATGTAAACACAAGTGTGTACAGCATACAATTAAGAGCAGGTACATAAAAAAATTACATGAGCATTTTTTCGTATTCTGGAATAGTTCATAAACAAGTGGTTACCATTTAAAAGTGAAGGTATGTGGTACTAATGTTATCCTGCAGAGTATAATTATAATTATTATTGTCAGGCTACTAGACGTAAATCACCCTTTTGACAGTTACTAAGTATTGTCTTGTCATTAAAGTGATGATATTTTTTTTTGTCATCTAATGCTTTAAAGCTACAGAAAAAGTTTACATGACACTAAATCCAAAGAATAATACTGGTCTTGATAAGATGAACAAAACGGTTGAACTTAGACTAATGAAATTGAGAAGACTGGTGGCTGTGTAACATAATTGAATATGAACTAATAATTTCAGACACAGAAGCCTCGCAATGACATAATGCTTGCAGATACTTGCAAGCCAATAAATAGAGCAGGCATTAAAATAAATTACTCAAGATATGACTTATAATTCTGTCACATGTAAAAAAAATACAGCAATCTACTGTAAACACACACAAAGTATTCATTAAATTATTCCCCATATACAAATAATTTGCATTACCAATTTTGTTATCATAAGGAGAGAAATTTGGAACGTTTTAAATAGGTAGGAACGGAAGCATAGCACAGTACAATAAACTGATCTCTCAGTCATTACACCAAACCTTGAGGGAGGTAAGAAGTGTCTACATGCATATTTTGCAAACATTTAGTGGTTTTACAGAAAATTTTATTTGCGCTATCAAAAACTGAGCGTAACTCTATATACAGGAACTCTATATACATAATTTGTACTTACCTTTGTTTATAAAGATAGAAGCCAAAACCAGCAAATATAAGGGCAAAGAAAGGCACAAGGATAGCAATGGCCACTGAACTACTATTTGTACCATGTGGTTGGTTAGAAGAATTTGAACCTTCAGACATGTTAAGACCTAAAAACAATAAAAACCAAACAAGTAATATAATATATGTATGTTACTCCATAATATTCAGAACTCAGTAATACCTTGTGAGTGGGTCATCATAGCATGTATATACAGCTGTATGCTGAGACCACCTGGAAAATAAGTGCAGTGTGGTACGCCACATTTTGATTAATCAGCAGATGCAAAATATCAGGAGAGCAACACTCTGACACAGTAAATATCTTACTGCATAATTCTTTACGGAATTAAAGTTTTGCATGTTAGCAATACACATTAAAGCACTGATACAAAAAGTCAAATTTATAATAATGCATGTTAGATTGATTATATTACTGATTATATTTGTGCATTTCAGAAATTAATAAATACTGCATGTATAAGTCAACCATAATTTCAAGGAAAAGGTAAATCACCTGAAGAGAAGCAAATTGAAAATTCATCATGTTGATTGCATTAAGCATCACTATTGATGCACAGAGTGAAAGAGACAGGAACAATTGTGGAGAGCCAAAGCCAGATATTGATGACAAAATAAGAATATGATCTGTTGCGCGGTCAAGGAATACGTTAACTACATATACAAGATAAACACCTTTTTAATGTGAGGAAAAGAATGCCAGTGCAATTGTTAAAGCTTTGAATAGGGCTTTTTAAGAGTTGCAAGGGTCATAACATTTTATGGCTTCCTTGATCTTACACGGCAATATATACAAATACAAAAAAAACCAAACAACTTAAACCCCCCAAAAAACCTACCAACCAAACAGAAATAAATTAACAGATAATCAATATACTAAGATATGGAAAAATAAATTAAATGTTCAGAAAAATATATTAATTGTTGTGAAGTATACTGTATGAGACCAGCAATTAAAATATTTTTTCAGAGATTTTGCTCTGCATAAGAGCAACCTAAAGGTTCACTTGCAAACATTTAGTAGTTTCAGTCTTCTAGCAAAGGTTTAGGTGAAATGTTGTTTCAGCATCATCAGCAAGAGATCAGTTTAGCAGAATGTTCAATAACATGGGCTTTTTAAGTAGTTATTAAGCTGTGAAGCCAAATACGTTTTAGACATGTTCATAGAAAAATATCGCTCAAAACACTAAAAATGTATAGCTATATTAAGCAGTACATTGCAAGGCATCTGTAACTCCTTGCAGCTTCTGACAAAACACTCTTTGTAAGTAATACTTAAATGAGATTTCAAAGATAAGAGTATCCCAATACTCTATAAAATATCAATACTGATAATATGCTGCAGATACTCTTATGCTACTTGACATAATAATACAGAATATGGAACAATGAATTGGTAAAAATTTAGAATTTGCTGAATACCTAATCTTTGAAGTCCAAATTGTCCATAATCTTTACCCTGGATGAAGCCTTGAAAAACATATGTTGCTCCATCAGGTTCAGCAAACCTGCAAACAAAAAGTATTCTGAATTAAATGGGGAAAATTTTGTTAGAAATTAAAAGTATCTATTTGGAAGACAGATATCTTAATATGCTTGACTGGTAACTCGCCATTAACTGGTAACTCCCCATTAAAAACATTTTTTTCTAAGAAAAGTACTGTATGCTTTTGTACATTTAAAGTCTGAAATGAAATTTCTCGCTTTTACTATATTTTTTTCACTTCAGGAGCATGCTCAGGTTCGTACAGACCAAGGAAGTTACACCCTTTTATAAGTATATTTACTGTTTAAGAGGTTTAGGGGTTTTTGCTTTGGTTTTGCACTTTTTAATAAATTATTATTGAAATAATTCCACAAGGTGCACAAATATAATTTTATGCATATATAAGAGAACAGAGAGATTCCCTAAAAGGTGAGAAGGTGTAATAGGGATGTTCATCATCATCCAAGTTATTTTAGGCCCTTTTATTTTTCTGAAAAATCCACTTTCTTCTCTGGCAAACAGAGCGTCTCATGCCCCCAACATACTCAGCTTTTTCCAGCCATAGCATTATTTTGGGCAGCATTTGTTTTTCCTGTTCTCTGAAAGGATTTCCTTTTTGTGGTTTAAACACATCCCAGTCACCTGCTTCCTCTTTTAGTCTCTCCTTCAACTTTTCTCATCTCATTTATGTGCTTTCTTCTCCCTTTTAAAGAATAAGCTCAGCCCCAGAAACTCCAAGAGGTTTAATGCTTAATTGGAGCAATCTATTTTGTTTTTCCACTACACATAAGCATTCAATTTTTTCATGGTATTTCTAAAAATATCACCAAAAAGTAAAATGTGACTGCTAGCCTAATGATAAAAACTGCTACTACATTAATATTATATATTATTATAGATTGATATTATCATGACGATAAAATTTCTCAATATATCAGAATACAATTCAAAGAGAAGTAAGAGAAATGCTTCTGTGTTAACGTGAATTATCATTGTGTTTACACAGTATGACTGCTCCCATGCTTTCCCTCAGACAGGTCTTATATATCTTACAATAAATTTTGCATTTCATTTAATGAATCAGCATTGCTAAGATGATTTCTTTTGATATGGCTGAGAATTTTTTGGGTGTAGAATACCAACATGATTAGAAAAATAATAAACTCTCTCCCTTTTATAGCAGAAAAATACTCACAAAACCATCCATAGCCCATTTTTCCTCTTTCAGCTTGCTCACAGATGTGTGGGAGGGTGCTTTAATGAGATATATGTGGAGCATTAGACGAGCTTCTTGGCTTTTATACACTCCTGTAGAAATATAATTTTAAAAATTAACATTTTTGTTGAGAAGTAATTTCATCTTTAAGAATAAGCATTTAATCTCATCTTTAAAAGAGAAAACAGGTAGAATAGGTATCATTGTTACCAATATTTTAGTTTAGCAAGACGCATTCTTTTGTGAAATTATTTCACTTATGGAATTTTAACAGAAATTGTTTTTAGCTTAGCCTGCAGAGAGGACAGAAGGGAAACCCTGTACACATAGCTGTTATTCACAAGCCTTAGACAGAACAAACTAACAGTAATCTGAGTTGAGATGGAAAATGCTGTTCTGCATCAGGCAGAGTGTATCTGAACCTCACGTCTCCACTTCCAATATATTAATATAGTCATTAGGTAAAGAAGGTAATAATAGGAACATCTACATCTAAGTTCTTTTCCAAAAGATAGGGATAAATTAAAAATTTCTAAAAATATCTCGAAAAATGAAAATATTCTTCATCAGTCAGTATTATGACAGTTTCTTCTAGTCAATAAGACTTGTATATAACCTTGTTTTCTCTGTGGGCATAACTAATTGACTCATTTTCATTCCTGCAGATGAAATGTTTAGAATTCAAATAATCTTGCTTGTTAATTTAGAGAATGAAAACAAAATAGTATGATAGGCTTAGTGATTTGATCTTCCACTGCAAAGAAGGGTGAATAGTGAAAATCCCGTCAAAACTTTTTCCCCTCTTTTTTTTAACCATTGTTATCAATTAATGGTTTAAAACTTTGGATTCTACATAGTCTAGTATGTCTAGTATAATAATTTCCTTTCTTGCAGAGCACTGATATTACTCTTTATTTCATATGAAGTCTTCAATTTGTAGAATCACCCAAGGCTTTATTGCACTTTAAACAAAACCTAATGATGGCTAAAATTTAAACAGTAACAAAACTAAAACCAAAACCAAGGAAAAAAAAAACCACCAAACAATTATACTTCTACCTCCAGAAATGTTCCCCAAATTGAAATTAAAATTTACTGATTTATTGACTTGAAACATCACAGAACAGACTTCATACTGAAAGTGAATTAAATCTAAACACTGACTTTCATCTCCTTTGTAAAAAAAAAAATTACTGAGCAGCAAACATCAATTAATTCAGACTAGATTCAATCAGTATGTGTTAACTATGCATGAATTAAACTAGATCTCTTTTTATTAACTGAAAACTCCAGTAACATAGCTGTACTCTTAATTTTAGTCATTTCCCATTTTTATGTTCATCCACATTCATCTCATTCTCATCACAAGAATGAGACCACAGACATCACTGAGATGCTGGAGAATCTACTACCTCTCTGTATTCATTTTGCAGGGCAAGATTTTTGGTAGGAGGGTGGCTGCAGGGGTGTCACCTGTGACAAAATGCCAGAAGCTTCCCCTATGTTCAATAGAGTCAATGCCAGCCAGCTCCAAGATAGACCCACCACTGGCCAAGGCCAAGCCCATCAGTGATCGTGGCAATGCATCCCTGGTAACTTATTTAAGAAGAGGGGAAATAATTCTTTGTGCGATAGCAGCAGCAGCAGCAGCAGTCAATAAAAAAAGGAGTGAGAATATGTGAGAGAAACAACTCTGCAGACACCAAAGTCAGTGAAGGAGTGGAAGGAGATGCTCCAGGTGTCAGAGGAGAGATTCCCCTGCAGCTTATGTTGAAGTCCATGGTGAGGTAGGCTCTCTCCCTGCAGCCCATGGAGGTCTACAGTGGAGCAGCCATCAACTGCAGCCCATGGAGGAACTCACACTAGAGAACGAGGCTGTGACCCCATGGGAAGCTGAAGCATGTTCCTGGCAGGACCTGTGAACCCATGGGGATCCCACACTGAAGCAGTTTGTGAGGAAGCTTTTCAGAAGAGATAGATGAGGTAGGAGAGGTGGCTCTCTATGTTAGGGAGGGATATGAATGCTTAGAAATTAATCAATGTGATGACAGGGTTGAGAGCTTATGGGTTAGAATCAAAGGAAAAGTCAGTGGGAGTTTGCTACAGACCTCCCAATCAGGATGAAGAAATAGATAGGATAATTTATAGGCAATTAGGTGAAGTTGCACGGACTCTACCCCTTGTTC